CACCCAATAGTCTCGTTTAAGTTAATATTGGGTAACAGCATTTTATCTGTGCATTATTCGTAAGTCTTTATTAATTTTCATATTTGAGAAATTCATTTAAAAGAAAAAAAATTTAACAGTAAAACTAAATTTTCTTAAAACTATAAGCAATTCAGCTGAAACTAAACTATACTTAATAAAAACTTTTTGAATGCATATTATACCATATATACCATATTAAAGGTATTTTTGTTTGTTTGGGTTGCGATTAATGATATTTAAAAAATTTGTGTTTTTTCTTGGCAAAATTTATCTACACATAGCTTATTAAAATGGATACAACAATAATAACCTTTGGATTTTCAAAAATTGTTCCTTCATCTCTGTAATAAAAGTTTCCATTAAAACAAAAAGTTATCATTACATTAAGGAAAACACTAAGGACTGGCCACGGTCGCCTCATCAATTTCCTCTACCTCAACGAACTGTATTCTGCACATTTTCCGATGTTTTTTGGTCACAAGGCGCACAGGTTTTTTGGTGGTTGGTATTGTACTTTGAGAACTCTATGAATTACGGTGTTTGCCGTTCTTGAAAGAAAACAATTGAATAAGTTAACATTGTGCTTTATATTATATATTCATTTCACATGCTTCTATTTTCATTTGTTCGTGGTGATAAGGTATTTCCTATTGATAATCTAATATGTTTTGGTGTCGCCGAAATAGTTTCTGATCGTAGGACAAGTCGGCACAAGCTTCGGACTTTTCGAGGTTTTTTTAGTGAAAGAGATGTTTATCCTCGCCATCTCTTAATGATTGTATATTTATTATGTAAAGGAGTGAAATAGCTTCTCATCTTAACCTTCCCAGAAGGCGATTAGTCGAGGGCATAAGCTATATAATAGGAAATGGAGTAGTTCTACCTCTTCTTTTGATACCTAGAAAAGGGATAGAACCAAAAATAGAGTGCTTGTCGGTTATACAAAATCATAGATAGCGAAAATTACGACATGAGCTGTCAAAATTAAAATGCGTGCTTACGAAGAAAATGGTGTGAACAAATTAGATATATTTCTAATTTAATGTATAATTTTCAAAGCTTAAATAAAGATGACTTTATTTGAACGAATATATAATCAAAAACATAAGATCTTGTATTAAAATTATAATTTTTGTTATAAGCTAATGAAAGGCCTATTTTTTATATGAACTTTTGTTATACTACATAAAAACATGTTAAGTGGTAGAAATTACAACTGTTTCGGAGATCTTATCATGGCAGGGATCGACCCAACGTATCCTGACTTAACAGGCGAGTGCTCTACCGCTGAGCTAATTAAGCCGCTATTTTCTTATAGATAATTAGTTGCTTAGTAATTCCGTTTTTTTCTAATGTAGCTATTATTGAATTAAAATATAATAACAATAACATACTGTACCTGTTTTTGTGTTACAACTCAATTTTAAAGAATGCAATTTTTAAAATTTGTTTGTGGAACCCTTTAATTAAGTACAGAAGAAGAATCAGACAATAATCGATTTGTTAACAATCATCATTAAAGATAATTTGTTTCGACCTAGAGAACAGTATCTACGATCTCAACAATTAAGATAGGCAATCTTTTTGAATTTAGTGAAATAAGAAATTTTATTTGGTGTCTCTTAATATACAAACATTTTGGCCGCGATAGCCGAGTGGTTAGCATTGCGTACTGCCGTTCGGAAAGCTCGGGTTCAAATCCTGGTGTTATACTAACATTTAATAAGTTATAGAAAATTAATTTAAAATAAAAATTAAGATACATTTTCTAATTGCGTTCACCCCTCTGCAGAGAATGTTAACTCCTCCACAAAATTTCATACAAATATACACACATAATTTAACTCATCTTGAAATTAATTTTAGACCGAATACCAAATCAATTAAATTACCTCTATTTTGAAATGAATGTCCTGAAGTATGGTTTTTGCTTGTTGAAGGACAATTTGAAATTAAAAATGTTTACAATGATAATATTAAATTTCAAAATATTTTAAAGTTTCTTCAATGAGAAACTAATACAAAAATTATAGTTGTCATAGTGAAGAAATGATATTAGATCAATGACTTTCAAAAATTCAAGTTGGAGATCTTTCGAACTCCAAATTTTGCGGACATATTCGTAAACTATCTCAACAAAATCAAATGCATTTAACTTTATCTTATAATAAAAATAAAGATGAAATTAGTATTTTGGATGAAACAATTTTCCATTTAATTAATAAACATCAAGCATCTTCAAAAGCTTAAACTTTTGATAATAATTACATTTTAGAACAAAGTATTAAATATTTTATTGATTTAACAACTGGAATGTATCACACTTTAAACAAAATTACAGTAGATATTAATGAATTACAAATTAGATCTAGATCACGAAATTTTTACAACACAAAAATTATAATAATCTAAATAATATTTGATGGTATCATCAAAACTTTAAAAATAGTGCCATCAGATGTGTTCAATCTTGCAATTTTAAATCAAACACAACTATTGCAAATCAAATTCTTTAAATTAAAACGTTCCAATAGTGCTCTATTATAATCAAGTACAAGTTAGAATTATCCAATAGATTATCACAGGCTTCTCTTGAGCCCAACTCTTCCCCAGCCATAACATTCCGTACTATAAAGTGAATACATAAGAACCTGCCAACCACGCTTTCGGAAATTCTGGCGAGTCACTATTGATGTGTGTGGTCTGGCGTTGACCTAATGACATACAATTCGTCTCCTGTTATAGAAATTTAATTGAAATAAAAAATTAGGTTAAATTTTCTAATCTGATTGATACCAGACGTCACGGGAATTTTCGTTGCAGAAATGCAATTGTTGCTTTTACAGAGTAGCATGGTGCACCAAAGATGGCCCAACGATGGTTTTTGCGCGAATCCCGGCCAAACACAGTTGTTTCGGTGTGAAGAGATCCATTGCAAAAATTATATTGAATTGACGTTTCCAAAACATATCTGATGCAATCGATCGGTTGGTAAATCTGAAAGCTATTCGGCGTTTGCATACCCGGTACATTTCGGCTTGTTGGCTTTTTGCAATGTGTAGAGCACACTGGTTTCACTGTTCAGAGCACCATTGGCGATATCCAGAGTATATAATGTATGTTTTAAAAACTCGTTTTTATTTTGGTTCCCACAGGAACCACAGTAGATTTGATTTTCTCCGTAAAACGGCTTCAGCTCATGGCTCGCTGTTATACAAGTTTACCAGTATTGACTTTTTCAAGCGAATATTAACTAAACTAAGAAAATGCGTAGTTTTTTTTTTCAAAAGAAATGAAACTGAATTCGTAATTAATTATTTATTACCATATAGATTGCCATTTATATTCGAACATATAAATTATGAAATTCGGTGACGAAAATTATAAATTTGTTTAAAAGTATGCAATCACGGTAGCAGCTAGTAACATTTCGTCGCTGTTAATAGCTTCGATAACTCGTGTATGCATACCACTCTTCTAGTCGGGTTTTATGGCTGGGGGCATTTAAAATGCTTAGTTGTATCGCCGTACCTGTATGCATTAAATGTCTATTTATGTAACTCACCTGTCCATCTGCCGGTATCGGCGTCATCATCCTCATCCCCACTCAATTTCGGTAATGCTTAGTTTAATAGCATAATTATATACGGGAGCTGCACGTTCTTTCTGGTTGTTGATTTTTTGATTCAGTTTAAATATTTTTAATGGTATCTTTCTGAATATTGATTTCCTGCAGGTTTGTTTGTGTCATTATCGAAAGATTTTTTACATGACGGATTGTGCGCAGTTATCTTTTGGCATAGGTATTTGCTACCGAGCCACGTGTAATTTAAATTATACCTGTTAGATTTTCAATTGATACAGGCTTGCTGACTCTGCGAATATGATTGACAGTTTACGAAGGGCGATGTATTTAATTAAACTTTCTTTTTACACTTTTGACGATTTGAGCGGGAATTTCGACACATAACTTCTTTTGGTTCCTTACTTCAGAACGCTTTATTTATTTTCGTTTATACATACTAGGGTTGACACAGGTCTCTAACAACTATTTATGTTATATTAGTTTACTTACTTATATATTTGCACCAGCGGTTGCAATTGTTAATTTAGTCGAGGTATTTCAATTGTGCACAATTCTTTCGGCTGCGTGATCGTTCATGGCTCAGAATGTCGAGCCGTCTATTTATTCGGCCATCGGCATTCTTCTGCGATTATTTGACAAGCTATAATGCCATAAGTATCTTAGGGGAAAACAATTAACTTAAAACACTTAAAATAAAATCTCATATCTGATAGGTCGAGTATTTTCAGTGTTAATATATATGTCAAATTTGCGCAACATGTTTGGCTGAAAGATCGCAAAAAATTTTAATCCATGTACAGAAAGAAAACATTTTCAGGGATATCTCTCTTCTCCTAGTATTTGTCGCGGTATGCAAAGTTAGTATATCATTTCTTGCTCTTGAAAGTTATAACTTTTTTTTAGCCCCATATCTTTTATTTATAATGACAACTTATAAGCATATATACCTTCTTTGTCAGAAAATATGGCGTTCTATGAAAAATGAAAATCATTTTCGCATTCAGCATAATCAAAAACACTGTTTGGCGCGGATTTTTAGCGGGAGGTACATTGGACCATACTTTTTTAAAATTTGTCAAGCAAATTATCTCGATATCATAAAACACTACTTCAGTCTCAGTTGAATGATATCGATATAATAGACGGCCTAACCCAGAACTAATTTCATCTTTTGGAGGGCAACCCCACACACTACACTACCATCCATATATACATTCCTATCAATTTTCCTAACACCGATATCTGGTTTACATTCTACCCTGCTAAGTTTAACGAAACTTTTCTTTAAAATAATTTCTATATGAGTAGTTTTGAAACTTTCACTTCAACAATTAACGGATGCGTAATTTCACAAATAACCTTAATTTTTATTAATGAATTATTTATTTTACAGGGCGCAGGATATTTGAGTTTTAACTCAATTTCGATCCAGGAAGAATCAGTCATATTACAACTTGCTGTGGACTTTTTTTCGAAAGCGTTGATAACTGAAATTCAAGAAAAAGTTATCTGTCACACATTGGACATGTTTAGCCTATGGATGGTGAAGTTTGTTGGTGAATTGCCAAAATCAATTGTCGACATTTTTAAAAGAGGATTAGATCTAAAAACAACTACACAACCAGTGCGAGTCGCATATCTTCAATGGTTTTTAGCTGGACTTCAAAATGCGAAACTATACCAAGGATTCAACTTTTCTCCCTTACTTCTTTCAATGGTTGAAAAAGGACTGCAGAGTCCCATACAAATCCCACTATTATGTGAAGCTGTATGCGCTGCGGGTGTTATAATGCAAACTGAATCAACACTGAATAATCCTATATTAGGAAATTTTTGGAACACCATGTTCGATATGAACAAACAAATATTTTTTTCTGAGCGCTTCATGGTGGCTGCGCCACCGGAAACTTTATGCTATGTTTCTTTGATAGCTGAAAGGTTGTTAACGAAATATTCAGATAATTTAAAGGGTTCATTTAACATAGTATTGAAGGCTTTGGTTTCCAATTTGATTTCGAATTCTGAAAAAGTAAGAACTTATACCATGACTTTACTTCCTACAATAATGCATTCAAAGAACGGTGTCACATATATTAAAATTGTTATATCGGAATTAGAAAATCAATTGGATAACGTCAAGTTCAACAATGAGATTGATAGCAATCAAGAAGAAAGTGTAGCTAATGCGAATATTTTAGTAGATGTAATAGAAAGTATTTGCAACTATGAGCATCTTTCAATTGTTGATGCTAAAACAGTTGCTTTACAGTCTTTACTTATATGCCATCATCCTGCTGCTGTTTGTAACGATTGTTTTTTGTGGGAAAAAATTTTAAAAGAGAAATTCAAACTTGATCCAGAAATCTTTGTTGAAAATAATACGAAGGAAATTATTAATATCTTAATAGATAACTTTCAACTGAAAAATCCTTATGAAAACGCTATATCTACAGTTGTTCGTCTAAGCCCTGGAAAAGTATTACCAACACTCATAAAAAAAATTATAACCGATCTTAAAAATATTGAAACTAGTACGATTAGTGATGAAGAGTACTCTATTTTTGTTACACTAAAAGATAATTTATTAGATAAAGAAGGTAATGAGAGCATATACGCCTCAGGTGGTCAAATGCGAGACATTAAAGGGCAATACGACAAAAGTCAACAAGAAAAAAATATGCTTATTACGGAATCTTCGGATAAAAAACGGCAGAAAGGCAAGCCAGAACTATCGCAAAAACAGCAAGAATCTGTAAAAAACCAATTAGAAAAGGAAATTTGTATAAGAGATCGGTTGAACCTTCTTAATAAAAAACTAAAAATTGTCATAGCCTGGTTAGAGTGCGCTTGCTTAGGCAATCCTAAAGCAGTATCTTTATATTTCAATGAATTGTTATCTCAAGTATTAAGTACACTAAAATGCCCCCTTTCAGAACCTTTGGCTAAATTGTATTATAAAATGAGAGAGACATGTTTTGAAGATTCTTTTGACTTGGGGAAGGATTTGGCCATTATGACTATTCGCTTAGAGAAGCCAGTATTTGCATTACCAAAGGAATGGGATGCAAACGATATAGATGAGTGTGTCATTAAAGTTCTACTTAATCTGCAAAAATACATTTTAAACCATCGTACTGATATGAATAAAGATGAATCACACTACATTCTCAACGCACCTTCTTTCGCTTATATATTCGAATTCCTAAAACGTGCGCTAGTTTTGAACTCCATCACAAAGAACGAGGATTATATACTTATTGGCATAGAAATAATAGAAACTTATGCAGAAATTAGGGGGTATACTGTTTTAGGAGATTTAACCGATTGCAAGCATCCCAAGTATATGCCTCGATGTGAAATGTTAAAATTATTGCTATATTTTATTAAAAACAGCCATGGAAGAGTTCAAACAAATGCTGCTGCTGTGCTGTTGGAAGTAGCCAACTTAAGTTCTGGCGAAGATTATTGTGGATTTGCTAGTGAAGATGAGATTAAGCTAATACTAAATTTTTTGCAATGCGACAAGCAAGTCGTAAGGGAAGCTTGCCTAAGAGCTCTTCAAATTATTAAAAGGTCTATATTGCTTGAAAACGTTATCCATAGAAATTTAATTTCCGACATAAAACTTCGTTTATGGGTTGCGAAACACGACATTTCGGAAGAAAATTGTATATTAGCTACTGATTTATGGGAATCATTAGAATTTTCATTTCCTAATATGGAAGATATTCTTATAGACGTGACTCATAATGAAGTTTGTATTCAAAGAGCTGCATCTGCTGCGATGGTTCCTTTACTTTTCAAAGACTATAGCCAAGTGAAATCAATAGTGAAATCACTACTGGGCATTTATAAAGAAAAATTAATTATGATACCTCCGAAATTAGATCAGTTCGACCGAGAAGTTTTCCCAGCAATAGATCAATGGGAACCTAGGAGGGGTATTGCAATCTGTATATCTCAAATTTCCAAATTTTTCGATGTTGAAGATGTGAATGAAATAATGCAATTTATGGTGTCGCAGGGCTTCAGAGATCGTAATGAAATTGTTCAAAAGGAAATGCTTGCCGCTGCGCTTTGTATAGTAGACTGCCATGGCAAACAAACTATACTTAACTTGTTACCGGTATTTGAAGGATTTTTAGATAAAGCACCGAGATCACAAAGTTATGACAATGTTAGACAAGCTGTAGTAATTCTTATGGGATCCCTGGCACGTCATTTAGAACCAGATGATATTCGTATAGAGCCTATAGTACGAAGACTTATTTCTGCTCTATCAACACCTTCACAACAAGTACAAGAAGCAGTAGCTAATTGTTTACCACATTTAGTTCCATCGGTAAAGGAGAAGGCTCCTGAAATAATAAAAAAATTATTACAGCTGCTAGTAAAATCTGATAAATATGGAGAGCGAAGAGGCGCAGCTTATGGCATAGCAGGTATTGTTAAAGGCTTGGGAATTTTGTCTCTGAAACAACTCGATATAATGTCGAAATTAACAATTTTTATACAGGAAAAAAAAAATTATAAATCACGAGAAGGTGCACTTTTTGCTTTTGAAGTACTATGCACAACACTGGGTCGTTTATTTGAGCCATATATTGTTCATGTGTTACCTCATCTATTGCAATGCTTTGGGGACTCTTCTCAATATGTTAGGCAAGCAGCTGATGATACAGCAAAAGTAGTAATGGGTAAGCTTTCTGCTCATGGTGTTAAGCTTGTTCTTCCGTCTCTACTTAACGCTTTAGACGAGGACTCGTGGCGTACGAAAATGGCCTCGGTTGAATTACTTGGAGCAATGGCATTTTGCGCACCAAAGCAGCTTTCATCATGTTTACCAAACATTGTCCCCAAACTGATAGAAGTCCTTGGTGATTCTCACACAAAAGTACAAGAAGCGGGAGCTGAAGCGTTGAAAGTTATAGGATCTGTAATAAAGAATCCAGAAATTCAAGCTATTGTTCCGATTTTATTGACAGCTTTAGAAGATCCATCAACCAACACGTTTATTTGTTTGCATAGCTTACTTCAAACAAAGTTTGTACATTTTATCGATGCTCCATCCCTTGCTCTTATAATGCCTGTTGTAGAAAGGGCATTTATGGATCGGTCTACAGAGACACGAAAAATGGCAGCCCAAATTATAGGAAATATGTACTCTTTAACAGATCAAAAGGATTTAGTACCATATCTACCCAATATAATTCCCGGGTTAAAAATGTCTTTGCTTGATCCTGTACCCGAAGTGAGAGCGATTTCTGCAAGAGCATTAGGAGCAATGGTCCGTGGAATCGGCGAATCTTCATTTGAAGATCTCCTACCGTGGTTGATGCAAACTTTAACATCTGAGACTAGCAGTGTCGATCGGAGCGGTGCAGCTCAAGGACTTTCTGAAGTAGTTGGTGGCCTTGGAGTAGAGAAATTGCATCAACTAATGCCTGACATTATTGCAACTGCAGAAAGAAATGACATTGCCCCACATGTCAAAGATGGATATATAATGATGTTTATATATATGCCGGGTCCCTTTCCGAAGGAATTCACTCCTTATATTGGTCAAATAATTAATCCAATTTTAAAAGCTTTGGCTGATGAAAATGAATACGTTCGGGACACCGCGTTAAAAGCCGGACAACGTATTGTGAATTTGTATGCCGAATCTGCAGTAACGCTTCTTCTTCCAGAATTGGAAAAAGGTCTTTTTGATGATAACTGGAGAATTCGATTTAGTTCTGTTCAACTGTTGGGCGACTTGTTGTACAGAATATCAGGCGTTTCAGGAAAAATGACTACGGAAACAGCTAGTGAAGACGATAATTTTGGAACAGAACAATCTCATACTGCCATAATAAGATTTTTGGGAGAAGAAAGGCGGAATAGGGTTCTTTCTGGACTTTATATGGGACGTAGTGACGTATCCTTAATGGTACGGCAAGCTGCCCTTCATGTTTGGAAAGTAGTTGTAACAAACACCCCCCGCACGCTACGAGAAATTTTACCTACTTTATTTGGTTTACTGTTGGGTTGTTTGGCTAGCACCAGTTATGATAAACGTCAAGTAGCTGCGCGCACATTAGGAGACCTTGTTAGAAAATTGGGAGAAAGAATACTTCCTGAAATAATACCAATATTAGAGAAAGGACTTAATTCAGAACATGCAGATCAGCGACAAGGAGTTTGTATTGGTTTATCAGAAATAATGGCCTCAACGTCAAGAGAAATGGTATTATCTTTCGTTAATAGCCTTGTTTCCACAGTAAGGAAGGCACTTTCGGATCCCTTACCAGAAGTAAGAGAAGCTGCCGCTAAAACCTTTGAGTCTTTACATTCGACAGTTGGATCACGTGCGCTGGACGATATTTTGCCTTCAATGTTGGATGGGTTGAACGACCCCGATCCGGCTATTGCCGAACATACATTGGATGGCCTTCGCCAAATGATGACAATTAAGTCACGAGTAGTCTTACCATTTCTTATTCCGCAGTTAACCGCTGCTCCAGTCAATACAAAAGCACTTTCGATTTTAGTGTCTGTCGCTGGTGACGCGCTAACAAAATATTTACCCAAAATTTTAGATGCTTTACTTCATGCACTTTCGGAGGCGCAAGGCACTACGCATGAATACCGGGAATTGGACTATTGTCAAGCTGTAATTCTTTCAGTGACGGATGAAGTTGGTATTCGTACAATTGTAGACACTTTAATGGTATCAGCAAAATCTGATCACATAAACACTCGAAAATCTGCTTCAAGCTTGCTATTTGTATTTTGTACACACTCTCCAGGAGATTATTCTGAGTATGTGCCACAATTGCTACGATGTTTACTTTGCTTAATGGCTGATTCTGACCGTGATATTCTGCAAAGATCATGGGACGCTCTAAACTCAGTTGTTAAAAGTTTAGATTCAGCACAACAAATTTCTCACGTTTCTGATGTTAGACAAGCTGTTCGTTTCGCTTCAAGTGAGCTAAAAACATCTGAATTACCAGGTTTTTGTTTGCCTAAAGGAATTACGCCATTACTTCCTGTTTTTCGTGAAGCTATTTTAAATGGAATGCCAGATGTTAAAGAAAATGCAGCACAAGGCTTAGGCGAAATTATATCTCTTACAAGTGCTCAATCCCTACAATCATCTGTCGTGCAAATAACTGGGCCGCTAATCCGTATATTGGGAGATCGATTTAATGCGGGCGTTAAAGCTGCTGTACTAGAATCGTTAGCTATTTTATTGCGAAAAGTTGGAGTTATGTTAAAACAATTTTTACCACAATTACAAACAACATTTCTAAAAGCTTTGCATGATTCAAATAGGACTGTTCGCATGAAAGCTGGAAAAGCAATATCTGAATTAGTAATTATACATTCACGTCCAGATCCAATATTTATTGAAATACATAACGGTATAAAATCGAGTGAGGATTTACCTATACGAGAAACTATGCTGGCAGCTGTACGTTCAAGCATTCATTCGGCGGGTGAAAAAATGTCTGAAAGCTTAAAAAAACAAATAAGTGCCACTTTACTAAGTATTATAGGACATTCCGACGATGTTACTAGATCGGCTGCCGGAGGTTGTCTAGGAGCACTTCTAAAACATCTGTCAGTTCAGCAAGTTAATGATATATTAGAGCATCATATATTGTTAGATGACAATGATGATGCATTGCTAACGCATGGACGGACTACCGCCCTTTTTGTTGCCCTAAAAGAGTGTCCTGTTTCGATTATTACTTCGAAATTTGAAAACAAAGTAATTACAATAATAACTACGAGCATTTTATCAGATAAAATAAATATTGCTAGTAATGGTGTTCGCGCTCTTACTTGTTTATTGCAATATTATTTAATAAATAATCTTACCTTTTCACCAATAATTGTTCCATGCCTTGCGAGAGCCATGAACCATAAAAGCAACGAAATAAAACAGATTGTTGCCAAGAGTTGCAACTACTTAGCAAAAGAGTTACCTATAGAAAAGATGAGCCCAGATGTTATTAAATTACTTGTACCAATGCTAGTTAATGGGACCAAAGAAAAAAATGGTTACGTGAAGTCTAACTCGGAAATAGCTTTAATATCTCTTTTGCATCTTAGAGAGGATGATACCACATATAATAACGTATGCCAAATTCTAGAAGTCGGTGCGAAAGATTCCTTAAATGAGGTTGTCCATAAAGTTTTACGTAAAGTTGCAGTGCAGCCTTTAGGTAAAGATGAAGAGTTTGATGACACTATTTTAAATTGATTGAAATTCGTTTTTGTAATTTGAATATTTCAGCTGTAAATGTAATGTACATGAGAAAATAAATAAATTCTGTAAGAAAATTAAAAATGTTTTTTATGAATTCAAAGAAAGCTTCATTAAACTATAAGTGCAATTGAAATATAGCAGCAGATTTTTTTTAACGAATACCATATCCATGTAAGAGAGAGGGCGAGTTCCAAAACGTCGAAATGCTTTGTAATGATGCGGTTTCATAACAATGCAATCCTGCATGCTATGAATTTTCGTGCAAATAAGTTGATTTTCGGTGATATGGCTAAAACATAAAACAAATCAAGAGAATAAGTTATATAATGTTTTAAAAAAATAATTAGCACAAACTTCCGACGTCGGCAGTTTTAGGTCTAAATTTATGATAAAATATAGCATCACATACCTTAGCGATGCGCAGTTTGCTTTTGTTTGCGCATCAATAACTTTACCGATGCAATTTGGAACATAATACATCGTCAAAGTTTGCACAGTTGCATTTAGGAATGCGCGACAAATTATGGTTGCTTTGCAAATAGCATTTTGGAATACTTATTTATTTAATTCTACCTTAATAACGATAGATAAAAGTCCTTAGTAAGTAAGAGCTGTGAATAGAGAAATGGTGCTTATTATTTTACTAGTAGTTTAACATACATTGAACATACTTCTTTATTTTACTTCATGTGAATTTAGTCCCTACAATAACGTTTCCGATCATTTGAGCCATATGGAACTTATTCACATTCACTTATATTGTTTAAAACTTACTTATACCACGATGCAAATAAAAAAAATTCATCAAAGATTTGTTTCAACAGGAAATGTTAAAGAAGGCATTGTAATTTAATGTTAAATCTTTATATAATTAAATATTCGACTGTTTTTCAATAAAATATTGGAATAAAAATTAAAAGTTTTTGGAGTACTTCAGGTTCGCAATAACATAACTCGAATTCCTCTGAAAATATCAAGAGGTTGTTTTTCTATTACAGTGGGGTAGTACCTTACAAGAAGGTTGGAAAATATTGGAGCCATCAAATGTCAAGAATGGATGTCGTCATATCCAAATAGTTTCTCAAACCGAAGTGACAAAACTGATATTTCATTTTCATATGTAAACGTTATTCTCTCTTTAATTACTCATGCATTTACGTCATTCTTGTCGGACAAACTGATCCCAGCTAAGCGATAGCATTGAAGCCAAAATATATATATTGTATTTGCCGCTTTTGTAACCGCTTTAGCTATTTTTTGACCGAGCTCCTCCAATTTGTGGTTAATTACTTAAATAGAGTTTCTATAACTTTTTAATGCGACACCAAGATTTGAGCCCGGGTCTTCAGAATGGCAGTACGCAATGCCAACCACTCGGCTACCGTACCTTGTAAGTATTTAGTCTTTATTCCAATATTTTAACACAGATCAGGTATAAATTATTATTTTCTTGGTCATTCCATGGTGATTCAGCTTCACGAACGCCTCTCCTATTATAGCGGCTCCCATGAAGTTGAAGGAGGTCTAAGTAAAATAAATAGTAGATATTCGGATGAGAAAGTTATTACTATCTAATTGCGATTGTGCCTCGCGAAATTTTGTAGATTATTTTTAGATATGTGTTATGCTTGTTGCTCACATTGTTGCTATATACACACATACAAACATAGAAGATCACTCAAGTGAGGGAAGTTTTTGAGTGGCCAGAAACGATTATTTTGCATATAGTTCAAGCAGCTGACGACTTCCGATCTTAGACCAAGTATCCCCTGGGTAGCCAGCAAACATCCGTTGGGAGGCGAGATAAAGTGGGAAGGCGAATCCCATGCGATTGTGCGTAAGGTTTGGGACCCACCACATGATAACCAAAATCTAAATATAAATTTCAATAAGCATCGGATGTCGCAAATTTTTTAAGTATTACGATTTTAGGTCAGGTACCTGGAATGGCCGGTCAATTGATTGGGAAGGAGAGCGGTGGATGAGCATTTCCCCACAATCCGCATTAAAAATAAATTATTTTAACACCACACTGATTTGCGCACCGATGGAAGAGAAGGATGATTTGACCAAAAATGCCTTCTAAGATCGCGCGAAAACAAAGTTTTTCTTGGTGACTTCAACGCTAGGGTGGGCAAAGAGGGCATTTTTGAGACAACATTCCTAAAATTCAACCTCCACAGCGAAATATTCTCAAATGTACTCAGGCTGATCGGCTTCGCCTGGGCTCGCTCGTTGCTGGAGTACTAGATTTCAGTACAAGGAAATTCACCAAGCTACTTGGCTGTCTCCAAATCCAAAAACTTTCAAACAGGTCTATCATCTTGTGATAGACGAAAGACATGGTTTACATGTGCGTACGTTCCGAGGTCCTACCATCGACTCTGTTTATTATCTTGTCGCAGCAAAGATACCTATATCAACGAACGCTCGTCAAAAAATACTAAGAAGGTTCGACGTTGAAAAGCTGCAATCACAACAAATTGCTGAGCAGTTTTCTACTCGACTTGCATTCCTACTCTCTGAGAGCACTCATCAGCAACACGATATATGGGAACTGAGGGAGGGCAAGTTATTGGATTTCGCCGAGGTCGCAAAAGCAGATTGTACAATAAGGACTGTCGTGCCGCGGTGGAGAGAGAGCAGACTGCCTACCTCACAACCTTGTGATCGACCACAACACGTGCGGGGTGGGATAAATGCCAAGATATGAAGCAAGGCATATCTGTAGACAAAAAAGAAAGAGACCAAGATGCCGACAATAGTAATGCTCGAAGATTCTTAGAAAAAAAAAACGCGACTTACAGAAGGTTTCAAGGCCGGAGCAAACTCTTGAAGGACCCAGAGGGGTGAGCTAATGACGTATGCCCAGAGTATACTGAATTTATGGAAGGAATACTTTCACAGCCTGCTGAATGGCAGTGGAAACGATACACTCAGAGATGGTGAACCCGAAACAACAATCGAAGACGATGGAAAAGACTTTCCACTGCCCGATAATGATTAAGTCCGAACAGAAATCACTCGCTTAAAAACAAAAAAAAAGGTTAAGACCGATGGATTACCGGCCGAGCTATTCAAATACGGCGGGGAAGAACTGATCAGGATTGGAACCTAATTGTAGCTCTGCTCAATCCACAATAAAAGCGATTCCACATTCTGGGCCAGTTTCCGTGGAAAAAGCCTCCTCAATATCGCATATAAGGTCCTATCAAGCGTATTGTGTGAAAGACTAAAGCCCTCCGTCAAAAAACTGATTGGACTTTATCAGTGTAGCTTCAGACATGGTAAGTAAACCATTTTCCATATATGCCAAATATTGCCTCTACGCCGCTCTGTATTTGGTATCCCTGCGAAACTAATGCAGTCGATATATCAATATTTTCACATAGATCATGTACATTATTTATAAATTCGTTTTCAAAAATTAGCAAAATATTGTAAGCAAAACCACATATGCAAGAGTCTTTAATAGTGTCCTGCCTTGGTGATGCAGCTCCTCAGCTCTACGTCATATTTGGGATCCCTTTGAAGTAAAGTTCAGTAAAAGTTGTACCTGCTCATATAGTTGTAGAACAGAACTGTTGACATTTATATACTCGTACATGTGTGACATCAGACCTGTTCGTAGCAATTGTTACTGAATATTTCTGAACCCGTCTAGGGAAATCTCCAGATTAATTTATCAAAACTGTTGCAGGAGTCGGAAGGAAATTTGAGTTATTACTGCGGTAGCAATGAAAAATGTGGCATCACGTCGAACAGGTCACGTTCACAATGACTTAGAGAAAAGACGAAGCCGCTTAAAAAGAGTGTAGGGCACACGTATTGTGATGCAAATGGGTCAATACGGAAAAGACCAAAGTTTTTATGAAAATTTGTATGCAAAGTACAGTGATGATTATTTATTAAGCGAAACTGTGAAAACCTGAATAATAATTCAAATGACCAGAAATTAATAAACTATTCGTATTCTTCAAGCTACAGTTCCCAAGACGACATTCCCACTTCATCAACGAATGCTTCTAACTTATTGTATCTTTATGTCTAAAATTTAATGAACCCACGAAACCTACCTTCACAAATCCTGGTAGCGAGCACTAAACACAAATTAATGAGACTTTCTGAAGCGTAAATGCCCTTTGGCGCCATATGGCAGAGCCCTGAAAATATAAGGAAATTATGGAGCTTGTATAGACTACACTAGCCGTGCGTGTCACTCAGATTTCTGGGGAACATTATTTTAACGTATTATCTACGATATCAACAAAGTTTTTATTTATACAGAATTCATTTATTTACATATTGCTATAACATAAACCTAACAGTAAGTGTACAAATTTTCAAAACTAAATTACAAACATGATAGCTCGAGTTATTTAACTCTGAGCCCTTTTCAAACTACGGCGCTCTCCTTAGAAGGCGGGAACATCTCTTCGCTGCAGGCGGGAGTTTCTTGATGGGTTGCATAAAGCATTAGCTAGCGGATTTAGATGATTTCTTACCTTTGTGAAGTACTTCGTCCTGCTTTTTTCAATTTCAGGCTTAACCAGTAAAATACCAAGGTTTTTTGTTAGCGTTACGAACGTACCATGGTGCGCCCTGAAAATTTTGGAGTGGAACCTCTGTATTTTATCAATATTAGTTGCACAGGTCGTACCCCACAGTACCCTGCGTTGTAAATAAGGACTTTTTAGTCTTGTTTTTGGCCGGAGTTTTTATTTAAATTTAAATTCATTAAATTTAATTCTCCAGTTTTTTAGCCATTCTTCGATGAGGAGTTAATGATTACTAATCGTTTTTGCTGCTCTTTTAGAACATTTATCCCGGCATAAAATAGCTGTGTCATCCGCAAAGGTAGATGTCTGCACTTTTCGGTTTAATGGGATGTCTGCAGTGTATATGATATATAAAATAGGCCCGAGGACGCTACCTTGCGGTACACCAGCTTTTACCGGATACTCCTCACTGATAAATTCAGTTTGTTTAATGGTAAATTGTCTGTTAGTATCACTTAAGTATCGTATAAAATTGAACAGGCAGAGCTTTATGTATTTTATAGAGTAAACTTTTTTGCCAGACTTTGTCGAACGCTTGTGCTACGTCAAGAAATATTGCGCAACAGTACCCACTGAGCCCGAATGCCTTTCTGATTTCGTTAGTTATTCGGTTAACGTGTTCAATAGTACTATGCTTTTCACGAAAGCCGAATTGGTGATCTGGTTTTACATTGTTACGGTGGAGAAAAGGAGATATTTTTGATAGCAGAATTTTTTCAAATAATTTGGAAAGACTGCATTGGTCTGGTTTTTGATGTAATGATGCCTGGAGATTTCTTAGGTTTTAGTTTCTGTATCGCGTTTACCACTTCTAGGCTTGATATTTTAATTGCCATTGATTTGCCTGGTCGTTAACAGCAAATTCCGGCAGAATAAAATTGATAGTTGTGTCATTTGGCTGGAATATATTACTTAAATGCTTTGTAAAACAATTTGCCTTTTCTTCGTTACTACGTGTCCAGTTATTCATTTCTATTGGGGGCTTAAATTTCTTTTGAGCTTTCCAGAGTGAATATTTTTCGGCAGAATTTGGCGCTATTTTTTCTATGTATGACTTGGCGTTTTGATCTTCTGCTTGTTTCAGTGCACTTTTCAGCTTCCTCTCTGCTGCTTTCATCTGTAACATTGCTGCTGGAGAGCGATATTCTTGCCATTCTCTCCGCAAACGGCGCTGATTTTTTACTAGTTCTTCAATTTCTGTATTTGTCAAAATTTTTGGGCACGTAGTAGGCTTTTTACTTTTGGAGTTGCTATGGTTGCCGCAGAAACAAGGACATTATTTAGCTCATTAATGTAGTCATCAATATCGTTTTCA